GGAAATAATGCTTCCTTTGCCATCTGTAATCTACACTTGTGAAAAGAAGAGAAAGGAAAATGCTGTCAACCTCCTTGGGATTGTTTCTTAAGTCTTGTTTTTCTTTTCTGTTTATGCATGTATGTATGTAGTATGTGCTCTTGAAAAACATTTTTAAAAATGCTGAAGGAAGTCCCCCAGAAAAGTACTCTCCAAGTAGTCATTGTTAACAAGTTGATATATACTCATCTAGATACATATTTTTCTATACTATTATACCATTTGCTGGACTTTCTAAGGCAAGGTACCTGTTTTCACCATGGTCACATGTCTATATTGAATAAAAGCCAACAGGGCAAAGCATGTAGAAGAGGCCAGGAGCGAAGTGTCACGCTTGTCTTTATTGCAGCCTATTGTGCATTTTCTTTGCTATTTTTCTTCACTCTGCACTTGTTTCTCTTCTCTCACTGTTTCCACCGTTCCCTTAAGATTACTTAGTTTGGCTTATTTTTCTTTCCCTTCTGAAATGATGTCATATCCCTGGTCATTTTCTCATATTCTTTTGCTGGATTTATGGTTCTGTGTTTGCTGTTTCTTAGTGGGTTTGAGTAAAAACATGGGGTCCTATAGAATTGTGTGAGACCAGTTCATATAGAGAGCAGTTTGACCTTTATATTAGAAAATACTTGTGATTTTGATATTTCCTATCTGTATGAAACAATATTCTTTGGTCAATTAAGTTATGCAAAATATACTGCAGTAAGAATCTCCAAACTGGAGGGAATGAAGTAACAAGGGATTTAATAATATAACAAGAAAACCAGTTGTATGTCCTTTTCTCCCCTCCTTCTCTCCCCTAGCTGGCCGACACACTAAGCAGTAGTGCATTTCTTAACTTCTGCTCGCCACTCCCTAACCAGATTCTAGATCCAAGACTGAAACTGTTGAAACAAACAAGAGGGCAGATGCTGCCTCGACCTCTCTTCTCATTGAACTAAGCTCCTCTGTGTTTACCCCATCCACTTTATCCCAGAGAATAACCTGTCTGGAGAGCATTATCATCTGAAGTACATGCAGACATCCCTGCATTTTCTTTTGCTTGATAAAGGATAAAGGAAGAAAAGCAGCAGCTGCTCTAGGAGCAGACAGCAAACAAGCCTCACTGCGGTGGCCCCGCAGCCTTCACAAAGGGGGGATTCAGAAAGCTAGGCAAACAGACTGTGCAGCTCAGGACTTCTGCAGAGATTCACCTGCCAAAATTACTAATTAAAAATCTAAAGAACTGTCCAGGTGAACCGAGAGTCTAACCAAAGCACATTTTCCAACTGTCTGTTATTAAGTTGGAAGAGAGAGAATACAGTTGAGGAACTGGAAAGGACTTCAAAGATCACCTGAATCCAACTCTAACTCTTCACCTTCCATTTTAAGATAAAGAAACTGAGGCCCAGAAAGGTCATAAAAGAGAAGATTCAACTGTTTTCCAGCCTGTGTACATTAAAACACTGGAGGTCTTAAAAATATTTATTATCAGACCTTTATAAGGCAATTCTTGTAGCATCTTACACACAATTATAGTTCCCACACGGTTAATAAAATAGCCCCAAAATTATGACATGAAAAATCTCAAAGCTTTGGTTTTATATTGTCTGTTGATTCATAGACCCAGTATCAGGGATGGGGACAGTTTGCTTTTGGTGGCCAAATACAGTGTGTGGTAAATATGATTCCTTTAAGAATCAGTTTCCAAAGAAAAGAACTGAGTATTGCTCCTTTTCATTTTGTTTTAAAGAAAGCTCTGCACTATCTTTTCTTTTGTTGAGTTCTGCTTTGTGGAAGTCGGGCTGAGCACACTTTTACTGTTTAAAGGTGCCACTTGTCTGCTTCAGGTAAATCTATTTAAAATTTTTCCCTGATTGACAGTTGTATTTGACAATTAAATGGAGTTTCAGTTGGTGAACAACCTATTAATATTAAACAAAATTTTATATCAAACTAAGTTTTTAAAAATACACAATTATAACAGGGTTTACAGTAAAATGCAAGTCTCCCATCCTACTGTTTCCCAGTCTGACCTTACTCAACCTGTTTGAACTGTTTTTGTTTATAGTGACTTCTCAAAGCCATGCCAACTATAGTTTATTGTATCTGGGTTCTGACTTTCTTGTACACTAATTTCTGGAGTTTGTAATTTCCTGTTCTAATTTGGACCAATTACTTTCTTAGACATATTATTTATTCAGTTGTCAATCTCAGATTTCACTTTAGTGGAATCGGTTAGTTAAGCTTTTGTGTACTCCACATCTTAGCATGATCTGTTTCCACTTTCCTGCCGCTAAAGCAGATCTGCAAGGAATTTAGGAAGTGTGTGAAGCCAAGTCTTCTGGTTTCTTAGATTTCCAAAACCTCCTTTATTTTGTTCTCACCTCTGATTGATAATTTGGGTATAAGATTCTAGATTCCAAATAATTTCCCATCAGAACTTTGAAGATATTATTCCATTATATAGCTGATAAGAAGTCCAGTGCTACTTAAATTCCCCCTCCTTTCCCAGGTTACCTGTTTTCCCCTCTGAAAGCATTTAGGGTGTGTAAACTCAGTGTTTTGAAATTTAGTAACTTAGCCTACATGTGGGATTTTTTTGTTAAGTGGTATAGTGGTTAAGAACCCAAGTGAATTATACCACCTGGGCTAAAATCCTAGCTGTGTCACTTACTAGCTGTATGACCTTGGGCAAACTAAGCCCCCCATGCCTCACCTTAGGATAACACCATGTGCCTCAGAGGGTTGTTTTGAGAACTGAGGTGATTGATGCCAGTGTTTAGCAGATTTTAAATGCTCAATTAAATGTCAGTGATTATTTAATCTTGCTCAGCTTCCAGTGAGCTCTTATAATTCGAAGATTCATTTCTTCAACTCCCCTTTCTTTGCTAATACCCTTCTGTTTGCTTTTCCTCTCTGAAATGAAAATAAGCTGGCTATAAGATTTCCCACATCAATTTGTCTTTTCTGTCACATTTTCTTTTTGATATTCTGGGAAGTTTCTTCAACTCTATACTCCAAGTTTCTGCTCTTAGAATAGGAACTAGGAGCTCTTTCTTATTCACTGTTTCTTTTTCATACTGTTTCACATATGCAGTATCTTTTCTTTCCCAATTTTTATTTTGAAAAATTTAAATGAAAGGTTGAATCATATAGTGAACACCTGTATATACCTTCCACCTAGATTCATTAGTTTAAATTTTGTCACTTTTGCTTTCATTTTGTGTGTATATGTCTATGCATGTTTCTATGTATGTGTATACATATATAGCACCTACACATTTTTTTTCTGGACCATTTTAATGTAAGTTGCAGATGTCATGACTCTACTCCTAAAATACTTCAGCCTGTGACTCCTAGGAATAATGACTTTCTCCTGCATAATCATAATACCATTATCACAACTATGAAAGTTAACAAAATTCCCTATCACCTAATATAGAGCCCATATTCAAATTTCTCTGTTGTTTCAAATGTGTGCCAATGACCAAAATGTAAAATGTCCATACCTTTTCACTCAGCAGTTCCATCAATGTCTGGCATACATATTCCGACATACACAAAATGGGGTATGCACAAGAATATTAATTGCAACACTGCTTGTAAGAGCAGAAGATAGGAAATTATCTAAATGTCCATTAATATAGGATTGAGTTTAACACACTGACATCAAACTATGGAATCAAACAGCTGTTTACAATCAAGGTGTTTAAAGTCAAAGTGATATTCCGAGTATTGCATATAGTTTATCATTTGTGATAAACTAAAAAATTAAGACAAAATATTATGTTTGCAGACTGATAATTAACTATGAGGGGCAAAAGAGAAACTGGTAAAATTAAATGTCTCTGGAGAAGTGACTTGGGTCACTGCGTGGGAAGGAGAGCTTAATTCTCCTCACTCATTTTGAATTTTCTACTATGTCCATGTTGTGTACAAAAAATAGTGCTTAGACTGGATGGATATTCAATCCCATTTGGCAGTGGTACTTAACCAAGGGTGATTTTGCTTCGAGGACATATTGCAATGTCTGGAGACATGTTTGGTTGTTAGAACTGGAGATGGGGATAGTGCTACTGGCATCTAGTGGGTGGAAACCTGGGATGATGTTAACCAGCCCTCAGTACACAAGTGATCTAACCCAAAATATCAATAGTGCCAAGGTTGCAAAACCCTGCTGTAGAGCAATTCTTCTGGATAATAACAATTAAGAGGTAAGCAAGACTAAAGAAATAAGTCAAGTGCATATGCCTAAGCATTCAAATCATTGCGCCTTTAAGATACTTCTAGTTGTGAGAGGATGGCTGGAGAAGTCCAATAAGCTCCTATTTGCATAGAGTTTACTTCAGATTGGCACAGCATCAAGCTTGTTACCTTAATTCATGTTAATAATTTTAACAGTTGTAGTATAGCTACTGTTAAGAATGAGGTCAGACTAAAGTCCATGATATCTGGGGCTTTAATATATAGGTATACTTGCACATACATGCACAGCACATGTACAAGAATATGCATGGCAGCTTTGTTTGTAATGGAAAATACTAGAAACAACCAACCTAATAGGGACTAGCAGGGGAACTTATGGTATATCCATACAGTATTCCCTACAATGGAATACCATGCAGCCATTAAACAAGATAGCTCTAATCTCCAAGACATTGTTTAAAAAACAAGAGAATGTATGTGGGAGGTTACCATATGTATATATGATATATAAAACATATACATATGTGCTCATTTATGCATATAGCTCTGAAAGATACCAATGTATCAGAAACTAGTTGTTTCTGGGAGGTTGGGGTGAGGAACTTTCTACGGTATTCCCTTTTGCATTTTTGTACTATGTGCTTACTACTTATTAAGTGCACTAATTCCACTGTAACACATAATACAAGGAGAGTGAAATATGTATTACAGTAAAGATGTAAAGGAATATGGAAACAAAGTTGTAGATGTTCAGAGTTGAAAATGTTGAGAGGAAATGAGAAACTTCAAAGCTGTATTTCAAGTGAGGCACCAAGAATTTGAGTCATTATGATCAAACATCCTTTTCCTCATAACCTGCTTCTCCAAGTTACAAAAACAAGAGGGCAGTTGGGGTATTTGTCTGGTGACCAGGGCCAATGTCATGCAAGTGAGTTATCTTCCAGATGGTGATGAAAGAAGCCCTTCTTGCAAAGAGCCTAGTGGGCTGGCATGCTTAAGATTTGGCTGTCCTACTTGATGGAAGATGAGATGGAGGAGTGGAAGTCAGGAGCCTAGGTATAGCCCTGGCTTTGCCACTAATTCACAGCATGACCTTTAGCAAATGAAACCCCAGACCTATTGTCCATCTATAGAATTAAAGTGTAGATCCCAAAAGTCAAATTTTTAAATATCAAATACATAATTCATACAAGGAAAAACATTTCACAAAAACTTGGGAAAATATTCAGGATCCCATTAAGCAAAAGGAAAATAAATGAGATTTTATACTTACGAAACAACAAAATCAATATCTCTTGCCACTGAAATTGTTAAAACCTGTATACATATTCATGTTAGTAATTTATAAAACATTCTGGAAAATTATGACATGATTATAACTGAGCCACAAGAATATTCCTACTCTTTGACTGTCTTTCACAGGAACTTATCTTAATGAAATGACTTAACAGATACAAAAACATATATATATATACAAAGACATTAATTCATTTGAATGTTGTCTATAATAAAAAAACCAAGGCATATGGTTTAATATGGGCACATCAACATGAAATATTGTACAACTCTGAGAACCATTTTGAACACTACAGATGTTTGTTAAAAAGGAAATACTGTTCAATGAATATACAGAGATAATATACAAATGTAAAATAATTTCATTTGGAAGAAAGAATTATAGGTACCTTAGTATTTAGTATTGTTAAACTGGCCTTGAAATTTTAACAAAAGAATTTAAGGATGAATTTAAGGAACTAAATCATCTGACCTCTAAGGTCCATGGTTCTATATCACTATCTGATATGGCACTGGGAGCTTTGCTCTCGGCTTTCCTCTAGTAGGCAAGGATGGTGGTGGACCCGGTAAGTTTTCAGATCAACAAAGCTCTGGTACAACAAGCAGGGACATAAAGTTGTTTTTTTTCTCTCACACATGAACTAACCCATGTATAACTAAATTTTGTGATTTATAAAAATGCTTTATTTTAGACATATACCACATCTACACTCACATCTTGGTATAAAAGCTTTAAGAATAAGTGACAAGCATAAACACAGATACTTGAACAGGGAGGGAGCCTAGAGATCATTCTAGAACTACCTCATTTTGCAGATAAAAAAACATGTTCAGAATGGAAAGTGACTTACATGTAGAGAAAATGCAATTTGGAGAAGACAAGGAAAAAATTAAGTGCTGTGGAGGGGGGGAAGAGTGAAAAGGTAAAAGCAACAACTACATACAGTAGATGTGTATATGTATGATAAAAGGCAGGAAGGTGATGACTAGAGGGTGGAAAAGTTACCAGTAGGCCTACAGAATGGCTGCATTAGGTTTCATAAATTGTCCTGTACATCTATCCTGCTATTTATCCTATCCAAGGCATAGATCTATCAGATTTTTACCCTTGTAGCTCCAGAGGAAGGTACGGCCTTTCAACTCCCAGAGATTCATGCTAAACCAGATCTTTATCTATGAGCTGAGTATAGAACATTGCTTAAAAAAGAAAATGGGACTACGCTGATGGACAGTGACTGCAATGGGGTTTGTGGGGGGCGGGGACCTGGTGAAGGGGGGAGTCTAGTGAACATAATGTTCCTCATGTAATTGTAGATTGATACCAAAAAAAAAAAAAAAGAAAAAAGAAAATGGGGTCATATTGGCTTTTTCTAGTTTCTACATAAAAAGTACATTGAAAGATAATTTGTTTAGATTGTACTGATTTTTTTCTTTTTATTCCCTGGAGCTCATCTTTTAAGTATCTATTGAGAATTTTCAATAAAAAAATTAAGAATTACCTAATTTAGATGGAAAACAAATTGCTTTCATACAGATTCAGAAAGGATCTTAACTAAAAGAGTTCATTCTATCTGTAACTATGTGTGTGTGTATATATCTATATATGTATATATATAGATATATACACACACATATATGTATATATACACACACACTCTCAGAAATAAACAAGTTGTATCTATATATAAGCTTCTGAGATGGGACTGTTTGAAGCTTTTGCAGCATCCTCATTCTAAGGGTTCAGGCCACTGATATGCTGCTGGTTGGCTACAGCTATTTTGCATCCAGAGTTACTTTGCTTGTGCTGTGCTTGACAGGTTTTACTTATAGAAAGCTGATCTAAGGACGATAGTGCTTGTCCAAATTAGGATTTTTGTCTTACAAATCAGATTTTAAAAGTAAAGTTCAACTTATGTTACATGTTTGATATTATACAATACCTCACTTACTGGCATACACTATGAACATCAAGCTTTTACTTTCAATGGTTCTGTAGCAAGCAATTTATTTATATCCCAATAAAAATAAAGACTTTATTAAGCAATTTATCATTACTTTTTTTTTTCTTTTTGGGTTTTAACATCTTGATGACCTTATAACAGATCACAACAGATACATACGTCATCTTATGCAAGATATTTCAATAATGGTGGCAAATTGGATTTTCATAAATACTAATAAAATGTTTAAGGCAAACTTCTAAATTATCTTCAATTAATATCTGATGCCAAACATTTAGGTTTTAGGCTGTATCTAGTTCCCCTTCTCTCTCTTACCCATCCTATCCCCTAAGTAGTTAATAGGAGTTTATTTAAAACAAAACAAATCCATACTAGGAAAAATTTCCCTTTCAGAGAAATCACATATGAAAAACAAGATTACTAGGAAGACTTTAAAAAATGTGTTTTAAAGGCCATATGTAAAATCTTAGAAGCAAAGTGTGGGATGAATGATAAGGAAAGCTTAAACCTAAAGGTTTTTAATAAGATGGAAAAAGTTTAGCATAGGTTTTAAAAACCATATCACCACAAATTAACATATGACAACTAAGCATTTTTTTACACTGTTTAAGGGAAGCAATTGCAGTGGTATTTCAGAAGTTCTTTTTTAAAATGTAATATATGTTCATAGACTCTAAACAGTATTTTAAAATATACAATCTCTCCAAAAGAAAATATTCAATTAAAGGTAAGATAGACAACTTTTAATGTAAGCAAATGTTACAAGATTTGAAAATTAAAGTCATCAAAGATTTTCCACACTATGTACAGAAATTTGCAAAACTTCCTGTATAGAATAGTATAATCTTTACTCTTGAGCAAGGCGTTCAATAACACGTCGGTAATCTTCCACAAGTTCCTGAAAGCTTTCTTCCAGCTGTTCATGTTGCATGCTTATTTCTATTTGGTTCATCTGGTTTGTCAGTTCTTCTGGTCTGAGACATTTTCTCATTTTAGCAAGATCTCTCTGCTTTTTCTAAGCAACAAACAAAATTACTGGTTAGACTAAGAAAGCTGAGTGTCCGATATTAAAAACAGTAGTAGTAGAAATATGCCCCAATTTGTCCCATACAGTTTTTTTCTTAAGTAAGCCTAATCATTATGTTAACCATGTATTACTAACCCTTTAAAAGGAGAAGAGCTGGAATTTGTGTCCAATGATGATAATAGTTATGTGACTAACAGCCCCCTCTCCAAAGCATAATAAATAAGGGGCCAGTGTAGATGCTCAAATATTTAATAAATAGAATATATTAACTGAAGAAAGACAACTGAAATTAAGTGCTATTATTCTTCATTTCACTATCAATCATTAATTTTTATCCCAGGCTTCTTCCTGCCACTACTATGCTTATTCCTAAACACTCTTAACCAGTGAGGTATTTATGGACCACATATTAATTTTAACATAAATTGTTAAAGGAGTTTCAGAAAGATAACCCAAACACTGTCATCCTTTAACTAGCATTTATTGAGTCTCTAGAATCCAGACATACATTATCTTATTAAATGCTCCCCATTTTACTGAGAAGGAAACCACCATGCTGAAAAGCCTGCAGTAGAGAGCTAGTAACAACGTTTACGCAGTCCATGAGCTTGCTGCTACTAGAATCCGAGAACAGTACTGAATCAGTAACGCCGAGGATGGGACTAGAGAGCCAAGTGAGCACCTACTGCCAAGAAGTCAAGCAAGAGGTGATGAACCAAGACAGCAGCAGCAGAGGTGGAGGGGACGGCAAATTTTGGGAAGAAAAAACTGGGTGATATGGGAAGAGTGAAGAATGTCCCCCAAGGTTCCTGGCTGGGTGACAATTCTGCAATATAGGAAACTTTAATATATTTTAGATAAACTGTCCTAGATTCTATCAATCCTCTTTTATTAGTGCATATAGAGTTAAGAGAGATTAGAAATCACACATATTCATGTAATCCTAACAACTGTTAAGACAGGTACTATAATTTTCCACAATTGATAGGTGAAGAAAAAATATGTAGGTTTAGTAACTTGTCATAGAAGTAGCAAGCAGCCTGAGAAACAGGGTCTGAACCCTAATGATCTGGTTGCAAGTCTGTATTCTTACTGCCTTTCAAAAGAATTTTAAAAAACCAAATAAACCCTAAAAACAGTATCTTAAATCCATCCTAAAAACTAATAAATGTCCCTTAAAGGGAACCCTAATATAATCTGGAATACTAGGCAAATGTGTCATGACCCCTATTTAAAAGCTCAAAATTAAGCTAAATTTATAACCACAAAACAAGGTAACAATAAAGTTTGGAGGTAAGCCTTTACTGATGCTACAAAAAAGTTAGGTTGATCCTGGGTCTAAATTAGTGGACTAATAATAAGTAAATGAGTTTGCCACTACTATAATCAGAAAAAAAATAATTCCCTTAATATAAGATGCCGACTAAAAGCAGTGCTTCTCAAACTTGAATGTGCATACAGGTCACCTGGGAACACTGTTAAAATGCACATTCTGATTGAGAACGTCTGAGGTGCGGTGTATGCATTTCCAGTATGGGATGCTACTGCTGATCTACTGACCACACTTTGAATATTAGTTCTACAGAACTGATGAAATGTCACATTTATTGCTTCTCAGGCCTGGAAGGACAATCTATTCCTTCCTTAACTCTTCAATTACATGAATAATAAATACTTCGTTTCTGTTGTAAAAGTTATTTTTCTGCCAGAAGGCACAATTGCACTGTATAAGAGAACTCTAATTTAAAAAGACAGTTCAGGGTCCTAAAGTGTAATACACCAAAAATTACTGTGGTGATAGGAATATATGCTATCTTCCTAAATTGCCAACCAGTTATAACATTAAATAATCTAACTTCACTGCCTGAAGATACCTCCAACCATATTAAATTCTCATATATAATAAAACCAATATATTAAATTCATAAATATTTCTAGACTACCAATTCTATTCCAAATAACCTACAGAATGAGTCATGTGCCAGTAACATACTGTTTTAAATTACTATGCTGTTTTAAAATCTCGAGAGCTTACTTCCCCAGTTTACCCACTCCTTATCACATTCTTCATTGTCAGTTTTTTTCAAATGGTGACAGAACTAAACTCTATTGTAATTTTTATTGGCAAGGTAGTAAATCTATTAATTAAATTTAAGAGTTCTAGGTACCTAGGAATAAAAAATACATATAATGGCTTTATAGAAAAAATACAAAACTATGCATATAAATCCCTGTGAGCATGTAAAGTATGGTTCAATTTAAAAAAACTGATTTTATTAACCTTTAATATTTCTTAAACTGCTCACATTCTGCTTTGTGTAAGTATGATATAAACCTTTTAAAGAATGTATCAAAAAACAAACTTTTTGGGAAACACCACTATCCAGCTAAGTGACATACACTGGGGGTATAAATGAAAAACTGAAATATACATAGAATTCCTGAAGATTGAAAAATATTCTATAAACATCAGCATATTTTTCTCCCTCTACAAATAAAAACTTAATTCCTTCATAGATTAGGGCTATTGGTAACTTTTAATTAATGCAGATAAATGAATTAAAGATGGTGTTCATGTCAATTTATTTGTTAACATTTGGCTTGAGTATGAATTCATTTCCAGAAAATAATCCTTTCTTGTTGCCTAGTTTTTACAGGTTGCAAATGGAATTTCAAATATAATTTCAAAAATGCTAGCACCTCTCAGGGCTCCTTAATTTCAATCTGCTGACCTAGTTCTCTCTTATGTGAAGTATAGAGATAAGGTTCTTTCGTGGGAATTTAAAAATAGTAATGGCATGGAGGCATATACTTCCAAAGACTTCTCAAAAGACATCATTAAAAACATGCACAGTGTATTTTATCTTTCTGTTCACTTCCTCACTATGGAGGCATTTCCATTTTAAGGAAGCCAAGCCTAACATCTAGATGCTAATAAACTATCAACAGTCATATAATTTGTAAGAGGTAGAACTAAACCTCAAAACTGAGTTTCCTAATTCCAAATCCAATGATAGTATAACTGTGATTCTATATTTTATATTTGTAAACCAATTATGAATTAAAATATGCCCATGACACAATGTAAAGCCTTTAATGCTAAAATCAAGCAGCTGCACCTTCTCTTTTTCAGCCAAATTGTTCAAATTTATTTTTTGAACACCTGAAAATTATTTCTATACCAGAAGTGGAGTTTCTTTTTTGCCTTTTAAAAATGATTCTATTTAATACAGGTTATTTTTTTCCTTTTTTGGCACTGATACAAATGAATCATCAATGTTTAAAGAACTTTTAAAGTAAGGTACTTTTAATATCTACCCAAATAATTTCTTAGTGGGAGAGGGTGTTTAAGCTGATATGTAAACTTGATCTCTTAAATAAAGGCAGCACAGAATTGGTGGACTTTGCTATCACAAGATCACTTATTCCATATTTCAGTAATAGTTTAGTGATAATCAAAATTATAATTTTTCATAAAATGTGTTAAAACTAAAAAGGGTAAATTTTACACTTCAACACTTCCCCCACAAAGCATACATTTTAAAGACCTAAAAAAAAAAATCCTAAACCACACTCAATATTAAGCAATTTTACTTTATTCTTAAATGTAATTCTGCATTTGTGAATTTGTTATAACATAACAAAGTTCATAAATATCAGGCTAGAATGAAAAATTGTGGAGAAAATCATCTGTATATAAATAACGAGGGAATCTTATCATTCATCCCATACCTACAGGACATTTAACTAATTTCTATACTTACCCAAAATCTGTGGTAGGTTTCCTATCCCATACATTGTGGCTATCAACTCAAAGTGTGGAAGGGGCACCCTCAAGCTTTCTTGGTTTTCTCAGTGAGATACTGTATTTATTAAAATGTGCTTTACTATAAATATGGCCTGAACAAGTATCTGAAAGATTTGCAATCTGTGTAAAAGATTTAGTGCAGGGATGATGATACCCATTTTGGCTACTACACGCCTGAAGACACCTGAAGACTTTAATAACCAGTTTTCAGTTGTTCAGAAAGGTGAACTTGCTAAATGGGTGTGGATACTTAATAATATAAAAAATAATTATCATTCTTTAAGAGTAGAAAATACTTGTTTTTTATGAACTATAGAAATTCCCACTAATTGGCATAACCTGGCAAGTATTTATACTTGGAAATATCATCTCCCATGGGAGAATATATCTGTAAATGACATATCTGACAAGGGGTTAACATCCAAAATATATAAAGAACTCATATTTGGCAAAACTGGACAGCTACATGTAAGAGAATGAAACTGGATCATTGTCTAACCCCATACACAAAAGTAAACTCAAAATGGATCAAAGAGCTGAATTTAAGTCATGAAACCATGAAACTCTTAGAAAAAAACATAGACAAAAATCTCTTGGACATAAACATGAGCAACCTCTTCATGAACATATCTCCCTGGGCAAGGAAAACAAAAGCAAAAAATGAACTAGTGGGATTATATCAAACTAAAAAGCTTCTGTACAGCAAAGGATACCATCAGTAGAACAAAAAGACATCCTACAGTATGGGAGAATACATTCATAAATGACAGATCCGATAAAAGTTTGACATCCAAAATATATAAAGAGCCCACATACCTCAACAAACAAAAAGCAAATAATCCAATAAAAAAATGGGCACAGGATCTGAACTGTCACTTCTCCAAAGAAGAAATTCAGATGGCCAAGAGACACTTGAAAAGATGCTCCACATCGTGCTAATCATCAGGGAAATGCAAATTAAAACCACAATAAGATATCACCTCATACCAGTTAGAATGGCCAACATCCAAAAGACAAACAACAACAAATGTTGGTGAGAAGTGGAGAAAGGGGAACCCTCCTACATTGCTGGTGGGAATGTAAATTAGTTCAACCATTGTGGAAAGCAGTATGGAGGTTCCTCAAAAAACTCAAAATAGAAATACCATTTGACCCAGGAATTCCACTCTTAGGAATTTAC